AATCCTTCTTGGTTGTAGAGAGGTTGAGAAAATTCCTCCTTCAGCTGAAGGAATGCTGGGAGAATAGTATTATGATTTTTTCTATGAAGTTGAAAAAGTTGTGACTGTGGGCGCTGAGAAAAGTCAGTCCTATACTGCTGTGGATAGCAGTGCATCTCCTTCCTTCCCCAAGAAAGCGAGGATGGGCTCATATCCTGCTTCTTCCATGGGGCAGGGGGAGACGAGTACATCTATGGCTGGTAATTTCTCCTCTCAGAACTATGATAAGGGTGTGCAGAGGCTTCCTGCAGTTGCTGAGAGTGAAGAAGAAGATGAGAGTGATGAAGGTAACAACACAGAGCTACTGATTGAGACTATGGCCAGAGAACATGCAGCTGAAAAAATGTCTTATTGTGGATCCCAATCCGGTAAAAATCCATGTGAGAATATCTCTGAGGATCTGGAAGTGGAAGAGATGACTGAATCTCCCAGTAATGAGATCAGTGTGTATCAAGGTGCTTGGGGAATGTTTACTCCTGTTCCACCCTCACCTATGTTTGTGTGTCAAGATGTGAATGCTTATGGGAATGCCTTTCCTCCCTTGTCAGACTATGTGGTTTGGCCCTCCCTGCCTCATATTATGCCTCTTGAGGAGGATCCCATGGAAGGAGGAGAAAACTGCAGTGTCTATACAGTGGAATTTCCCTCTGGATCCCCAATTCATGATAGCATGAGTCAGGAAGAGGAAATTTCGCGCAGACAGAAGCAGAAGTTGGAGAAGGTGGGAGATGTGGCTACCAACAGAATGAGGAAGCGTAATTTGGAAGGTACGAATATGCCCAATTCAAAAAATCAATTCTCTGCTTTATCTGACTCTGCCATTATTCTGTGTGCATCTTTGATGGGAGTGCAAATACCTGATGATGACTTTGCTACTGTTGATATTTTACGTGAATTAGAACTTTCTAGAAATCTGTTGCAGGATAAAAATATTGATAATAATTCACAAAAAATTATTGTCAATGATGGGTTGGGCAATGATGTGCCCCTCTCTTTAACATGGGACGATGATAGTGGAGATATTGAAGAACCATTCATCCTGGTTCAATCTAAAAACAGGAAAAAGAAGTATCAACGTAAGAAATCGATGGTGGTTTTATCCCCAAATAAGTCCAGCGGACCTGTGACTAGAAGTCAGCAAAAAAAGGGGGGTGGTAAGGCTGCTATGGAACCTGGCAGACCTACCAGAGTGAGAGATAAACCCGATCGATATAAATGAAAGGGATTTTTTGGAATTGTAGGGGAGTGGGTAAAAAGGGCATGTCCACCTGCCTCATTGACATGATAAATGTTAATGATTTAGATTTTATTGGGCTTCAGGAAACCATGAAGAAGTCGTATACTCCTGCTTTCTTTAGACAGATTGACCCAAATCATAAATTTCATTGGGAATGGAATCCTTCAAGGGGGAAATCTGGTGGCATCCTTTGTGGGATTAACAAGGAAAAATTTGATGTCCTTATGACCAAGTGTGGTAAATACATCCTGCAGTTGAACTTGTTCGATAAGAACAAAAATTGTAGCTGGGCCCTGATGACTGTGTATGGTGCTGCACATGATGAACAGAAGCCTGAATTCATTGCTGAACTGTCATCTATGTGTCACAGCAGTAATATTCCTTATCTAGTTGGGGGAGACTTTAATATCATTAGACATAGTGGGGAGAAAAACAAAAAAACATCTCTGTCCCACTTTTCGGAGGTGTTTAATTCTGTTATTCACTTGCTTGGGTTGAGAGAGATTTATATGACTGGTGGGTCTTATACCTGGTCAAATAAACAAGAATCCCGACTTTGGAAAAGCTGGATAGAGTTCTCATGTCTCCTGAGTGGGAGGATTTATACCCTCTTGCCTCTGTCCATAAGCTGGTCAAGGAAGTATCAGATCACAACCCTTTGTTGGTGGATGGTGGGAATGCCTTATCTCGTGCACCAGGTAACAGGTGTTTTAAATTTGATAATGCTTGGCTCAGTAACCCAGAATTCCTCCCTCTGGTTTCTGAGATTTGGTCGAGGCCTGTTTATACTTCAAACCCCATTGACTCCTTGAATATCAAGCTTAAAAGAATTAAGAAGTTTTTTAAGGGCTGGGGATCTAATCTGTTTGGTCATAATAAGATCAGGAGAAATATTATCAAGCTCGAGTTGCAGGAGCTTGAAAAACTGGAGGAGACTGATGGTTTATGCGGGGATGCTTACACTAGGAAGTTGGATATTCTAGTGGAGCTTAATAAGATGTATGTTGAAGAAGAACTTCACTGGCACCAATTCTCTAACGAGAAGTGGCTTCTGAAAGGAGACAATAACACTGGTTTCTTCCATAGAGTAGCTAATGGCCGTCGTAGGAAAAACACTATGATCTCCCTGGAGTGTGGGTCCGTTATTATAGAGGGCACTAAAAACCTATTGATCCATGCTACTGAATATTATAAATCCTTATTTGGTCCAGCTCCTGGCAATGTATGTCAGATAGATGCTGCTTTGTGGTCTCAGGATGAGATGATTACTCCTGGTGACAATGAGGATTTAACTCGACCTTTTTCATTAGAAGAAATCAAGAAAACCTTATTTAGTATGAATTCTAACCGTGCCCCTGGTCCGGATGATATTCCGGTTGAATTCTATCAACACTGCTGGGATGTAGTGGCCCCAGACCTCCTTTGCCTGTTTGAATGGTTTCATGATGGCAAGCTAGATGTACAACGACTTAACTATGGCATCATAACTTTGTTGCCTAAGTCGACTGATGCTAATAGAATCCAACAATATAGACCCATTTGTCTATTGCGTTGCCCCTATAAACTTCTTACTAAAGCCATGGATATTAGAGCTAGCAAATATGCCCACAAGCTGTTTAGTATTCACCAGAATGCTTTTATTAAGGGGAGACACATAGTGGATGGAATCCTATCTCTCCATGAGATTTTGCATTATACTCATGTCAGAAAGCAGGTTGGAGTGATTTTGAAAATCGACTTTGAAAAAGCATATGATAAAGTAAATTGGGATTTTCTGCTTGACTGTCATAGGAAACGTGGGTTTAATTCTAAGTGGTGTGGGTGGGTCTCTCAAATTCTAAAGAATGGCACGGTCAGTGTCAAGATCAATGATGAGGCGGGTCCTTACATCCAAAGTGCTAAGGGGGTGAGGCAGGGGGATCCTCACTCCCCTTTCCTATTTAATATTGCGGCTGATTGCCTGACCAAAATGGTACTTACAGCACAAAAGAATGGTCTCATTAAAGGATTAGCTGCTGATCTTATTGAGAATGGGGTTTGCATCCTGCAATACGCGGATGACACGGTACTTTGTTTTGAGTATGATATTGACAAAGCTGTGAATATCAAGCTCTTGCTTTATCTCTTTGAGCTTATGTCTGGGCTTAAGATCAATTTTGAGAAGAGTGAA